GCGATTTTCCTTACTGAGGAGTTGGCAACACTGAGTACACCAATACTCGTCCTTCCCTTTATGACTGCTGTGAATTTTCTTACCCTCCAACCAAGGTACGCTGGACATCACCCCAGATGACCCTCGCTGGATCGGGGCGTGGTGGGGCGGCTTCCTCCTGTGTGGTGCCTTACTCTTCCTGTCCGCCCTCTTCATGTTCGGTTTCCCCCAGGCGCTGGATGAGCAGGACATGGACAGTGGAGCTGAGAGTGAGCAGGCCATGCTGCCTTCTTCCCTGAGCCTGGAGTTCCAGGGCTCTAAACCCAATGGAGCCATTCATGGCTTTGATATAAACAGCGGACTCTCAGTCTGTCAGCATCTGAGAGGTGAGGAAGTCAAGAGAAGAGTGGAGGGGGTTTAATAAGTGACAAGATTGTTTAATGGAATATTTAAATTCATACGCGTGCTTCTGCTCTTTTCTCTCAATACTTCTTCATCCTTTCTACTTTTTGCTTAATTTTCTTCTCCTTTGACCCAGTGATCCCCCGGGTTACCAGGCACCTTCTCTCCAATCCAGTGTTCAGCTGCATCACGCTGGCAGCCTGCATGGAGATCGCTGTGGTTGCTGGCTTTGCTGCCTTTCTGGGCAAATACTTAGAGCAGCAATTCAACCTTACAACATCCTCAGCTAATCAGCTGCTAGGTAGGCAGTAGGGATGGATATTGATAAGAATTTATTGATACCAGGGCCATTATCGGTTCTGCTTACAGCTCACATTCTTAGATTCCATCACATTTCTTGTGTGGGAGAAAGAGTACGCCCAAGAGGTTTTAAGCATCAACACAGCTACATAATTATCACTGAGTGGGAACACATTGTAAAGCAGAGGAAAAAAGGCTTGTAAAGCTCTGCTGCCAAGAGTTTGGCTTTATTGTTTTGCAATAGGCTGATGTCAGAAAACCTTGCAAGCATTGATGAGCGGGGTAAACTGAGAATTTTAAATAACTTTTTAATATCTCTTTAAATAAAAAATTCAGGACTAAACTTGCGAATAGTAACATAACCAAAAGTAAAAATGTGTCGTAACTAAAGATAATAATATGGTGGATTTATGCTTCGAAAACTGGAAAACAATAGATAACTAAAGTGTTAAAATAAGTGAAGAAAAAGTAGCATATGACAATAACACTTAACTACATTAAAACTGTATTGAAATAAAGTACTTAAATGAAGATATTCATTTACATTCTCTCATCTCAATGATATTGGGCTCTGTAGGATTAACAGTACTCTAGCAAAAGACTTACCATGATGGTTACCATGGTGAGGCAGGTTTCTCAACTTCCTTTCTCTCCTAGAGGGGTCCTACACTTATCTCAATAAAAGGAAATTATTTATATGTTTTTTTTACTGTCAAATCATGAGGAATGTTGCTCTGTATACAGAATTTACTTGTTTTTCCCTCTCCAGGTATGACGGCCATCCCCTGTGCCTGTCTGGGAATCTTCCTCGGGGGACTCCTGGTTAAGAAATTGAACCTGTCAGCTCTGGGTGCCGTCCGCATGGCCATGCTGGTCAATCTGGTGTCCACTGCCTGCTATGTCTCTTTTCTCTTCCTGGGCTGTGACACTGGACCTGTCGCTGGGGTCACAGTGGCCTACGGCAATGAGTAAGAGTGATGACTTACTGATGTGAATGAAGTCTTTCCAGGAACTTTTAGTTCTGTATAGTACTTTTCCCCACAGGGATATACTGTAGGTCCATGCAAACAAAAAATTTAACAAATCCCAGAATTAAAAAAATCCTTCAGAAAAATTGCATTAGATTTTCAAAATGTACATATGCAGCATTATCCCTAACGTGACCTTTGACTTCCTCTATAGGACGTTGCAGTCTTGGCAGCAGCCTGAGTCAGCATGCATTAGTAACTGTAACTGTTACACTGCATCGGTGAGCCCTGTCTGTGGCTCCAATGGAGTCACCTACCTCTCAGCCTGTTTCGCTGGCTGTACCAAACCAGTGAGTTGGGACATTACTGCTGATAATCATTGCTCACCGGTGCCTGAAGGGATCACAATAAATATAAATACTGCAGATTTACTCGATATATCATTATTACATTATCACCTCATTTCTTTTTTTTGTTTGTCAGAACCTGACCAACTGTGCGTGTATATCCAGCAACAGCGAAGAAGCAGTGGCTTTACCAGGAAAGTGTCCCAGCCCAGGCTGTCAGCAAGCCTTCCTCACCTTCCTGTGTGTTATATGTGTGTGCAGCATGATTGGCGCTATGGCCCAGACACCCTCTGTCATCATCCTTATCAGGTATGAGCACATCCCCCCCGCTTGCTATTCATCAACTGCTCACAAGAGGGAGCTGGCGACATTTCAAAATACCTGTGGTTCTTCAATGGAAAGGATTGATTTATCAAGCTGACAGTGATACGGACAAATACAGACACACGCAAGTGTATATTAACTCATATATAATGACAAATAACACTAAATATATATATATACATAATGCTCGTAATCTAGATAGGTAAGATAGAGAGATATGTACAAAATAATGTAATTTTGAACTCAATAGGTGTACCAATTAAGAACAGTTTTCCACCACAGTACTCAAAGGGTTGAAGTATTCTCTTAATTTTCAGAACTGTCAGTCCAGAGCTTAAATCCTACGCCCTTGGTGTTCTGTTCCTGCTTCTAAGACTAATAGGTAAGAAGCACTTCACTACTATTGGCACTCTGTATCGTGTTTGTGCAACAGCTGTTGGTCTGTAGTTTTACTCTGTGACTTAAACGTCAGGGCAATTTTTCACCTTGCTTGAAATGAACTTCATCAGTCTGTCTGCCTGGATACATTAGGAACATGAACTCAAACTGGTGTTCTTCTTGACCTTGTGACCTGCTGTCTCTCCGCAATCCCCACCTGCTCCAGGCTTCATCCCTCCCCCTCTGATCTTCGGCATGGGCATCGACTCCACCTGTCTGTTCTGGAGCTCCGTCTGCGGCGAGAAGGGAGCCTGCATGCTGTACGACAATGTGGCCTACAGGCATTTGTATGTCAGCATCGCCATCGTTCTCAAGTCATCGGCTTTCCTCCTGTACACCACCACATGGCAGTGTCTGAGAAAGAACTACAGGAAATACATCAAAAACAACGAGGGGTACCTCACGCCCACCGAACTCTTCGCCTCCAACGTGACTCTGGACAATTTGGGAAAAGATATCACGCAGAACCCAACCAACAGGACAAAATTCATATACAACCTGGAGGACCGTGAGACATGTGACAACATGGAGTCTGTTTTATAGTGCTGGTCTGCACTGGGGCTGCAGACCGGAGCCGTTAATGTGCAACAGACCTGAAGCGTGATGTTTCTGAGTTCAGAGAAAAGTCCTCAGTAAAGTTCCAGTCTTCTTATCATCCAAAACATGACACGTATTGAAAAAGAGAAGATTCCCCAAATTTGCCACGCCCACGTTTTTGTCAGCTGAAATTAAGCTGGCTTTAAGAAAATTGCTTTTACTTTTTTTTTTTGCAAAGTTGGAATAGAAAGTGAAGAGGAAAGAGGGGGAAAATCACATGCAATAGATTACTGCTGACGAAAGTTTAGTTCAAAGTTTTGGATTTACTATACCAGAGTTTATGAAATGGTTTATTTTCCTTTAGTATTTCTCAGGTATGGTATATCAGAAAATGCAAAAAGGGTGACAGTAATCAATTTTCAGTCCATCTGCAGTGCATCTGAGGATCTCTACAGGAGACTTCTTAGCACATTTGTTGTAAACCCTTTATTAGGTTTCGACTCCATCCAAAACCAGTTAACAAGCCCTTTTCACTGCAGTCATTTTGATATTGAGCATGCACAATACCAGAGCCTCTGCCCATGTACACGTATGGGACAGAGCCACTATTGTTGTGATTAATCACATCCGTGTTTACCCTGCAATAACATGTCAGCGTGGCTGCTATGAAAAGGGCCCGTTTCTAAGCCAGTATACAATTACTGTACGTTTCTTCAACCTTAACCCCGGCAGTGACTCAAACAGACATACAACAAGCAATGAAAAAGAAATCAAATGGTTCAAAAGGTGCAGAAGTTTACAGCAATATAGAAAACTGATTTATTTATTTAGCTCCTGCCACCAATTATTGCAGGTCACATTTTCCACAAAACGTGGATTATCCCACTTTGAAATGGTTAAAATGTGAAAGAGGTTTCTAACATTTTTCAGAGATATAAGAGACAAATTCTTTCATCATAGCTTTCGGTGTTTACTTTAGTCGAGAAAGTTGTTGGAAATATGTGAAGTTTTGGCACTGATACTCGACCAAAGTCTGAGATTATATTTTAGTTTCGGAGCCACAAAACGTTTCAGTTTTTTTTTTTTTTTTTACTTGACATTTATGAAAATTAGATGCAGCTTCTGACAGGTAATCAGAATAAAAGCTTAACTGTTAAAGTTTAAATAATAGCCTGACTCAAAGGAACAGAGTAAGATGGCTTTTTCATTAATGTTTAGACGAGATGCACGTGATCAGATTCAGTAAATGAACCTGTAACCTTTCCTAAATCACTGATTCAACAATGCTCATGCCAACTGCAAACAGATGCAGAATAAGAGTTTGTAATGTAATTTCACTCTTGGGGACATCGTTTGCAGCATTGATGCATGAAATACAAAGCAACAAATATAACAAGCAGGAGACACTGCAAATAAGACACTCCAGGTACATTATTTAGGAGGGCCATAGCAGGTGGCAGCTGTGGGGAAGGAAGCTTTTACCAAGAGCACCAGTATGACTAGTGAGCTCACACTGAGTGAAAGTGAGAGTGTGAAGGCCTTTATGTGGAATACCAAGTCATTGTATTGAGACTGTTGATTGTAGTGGCTAGCTGTCAACAGACACAGCATAGCATGACGCACAGTGTCCAGCCAGAATGAGTTCATTAAAAAGCATGCTGGTAATGCATGCACATAAAAATAAAATATGTTCAGAATGATGTCACTATATTGCACAGACTCTGTGGTTTGTTGGCCATTGTAATGGTTAAATATACATTTAACTCGAATGGCCTCCAAATTCTATTTTTGACCATGGAACAGCTTTATAATGCATACTGCATTGTGATGATGACTTTTTTTTCTTCTTCTTTTAAATCAAACCTCAGCTGTCACAATCACTCACACTGAAGTGATTGTCTACATGCAGATACAATACAGCTTTTTGTTCAAGAATTCAGCTGGATTCTGATTTTTGACATATCCACTTTATATATAGTGTTTTTCTTCTGGCTTACTCTGTAAGTATTTAATATGTTTTGCATCAAAAATCCAGAGAGCAATCATCACAATACGTTTCATTTTTAAAATGCATATACCCTTTGAGGCTTTGGGAAATACGCTTTTGGGAAATTCTTTTCCTAGCCAGAGTTAGAAAGACAGGGTTGATAATACTCCGGCCGGCTGTACAGTAAGTACAAAGGTAGAGCTAGCTGTCAGTTAGCTTGGCTTTGTATAAAGACTGAAACTGAACTGAGTACCAGGCTCAGTCCAAACTTCGAAACAATCAGTCTATTCAAGTCATTTTATTATACTAACATGTTAGACCTACATTGTCTTTGTATACTTTGTATACAAAAACTGAAATGTCAAAATTGGGGTTTATTTTCTCAGGTTTGGGCCTGGAAATCAGTGCAGCCTACCAAGAAATGCCCATGAAATTAGAACTTGTTAGTTTTATGCCTTAGGTGTTGCATATATGAAACAAAAATGTTAATAGGTTATCTTTAAAGGTGCTGGTCAGTAGATTATGTCATCATAGCCCGGTTAGCTGCTCTGCTTTACCTGTTTGTGCTAAATTAAGCTAACTACTGGTTATAGATTCACATAAGAAAATCTGTATGTTTAGCTTGTTTCCCAAAATTTCAAACTGTTCCTTTAAGCTAGCTTTGAAAAGGTTCACAAATTCTTTTTGCCACCACCAGTGTCTCAAGAGTCATTTATTAAGAGTAAATACATGCACATTACTTGTAGGTCTACAGCATTTTAAGTTTCATATGCAATGAACCAAAAGAACAAGATTTAAACTCTACATATAAACTCTACACTAATAAATACTTTTATTTTGGATGCACATTACTTGTAGGTCTGCAATATATTGAGTTTCATAAATAATTAACCAAAAGAATAAGATTTAAACTCTAGATTGATGCTGCTATAGCTTCAAAAGTGATAAAAAAACACAGTGGGAAAATAAAACAACAGATCAGTGCTTTATGAACCTATGTTGACCACAGAGACACGCTAAACCACATCACGTCATTGTCTTTGTGGATTTTCTTAGAATAGAATATAAACAAGTTGAGATTTTTTTTTTTTATAGTGAGAGAACTTTTCGGCACTGATTAGTCGGTGCCTGTTTTCAAGCTCAAAATCTAACGACGGTGGAAATATTGGCTCCAAACGGGATATTTGGGGTAATGCTGAGCTGTACAAATAATCCAAAAGAAACAGGGTGGGGCACCTTCTGGCCACCATCTCCTCGTCAGCAATCCCAAACAGGTGGCGCTGTCTTTGATATTTATAGCACCCCAGTGTGTCTAGTGTTGACTCCTCTGTACATAATAGTGCCATAAAAGTGCCGAAGTGACACCATAGAAGTGTTCTGTGACGTCCTGCAGAGAACTTTGTCTGAACACGCTGGAGGTCAAAGCAGATCCTCCGGTTGTATGTAGCCTTTTTGTGATATCCCTCAACTTACTTTCACCACATCATCCTAAAGTGTCCCAAAAATATATTGCCTATAGAATATTGTACATTGGTCTAGAAAACAGTAACATTTAGGATGTAATAACTGTTAATATGTAGAAGTTTTCTACTAGTGAAGGTATTGTCGAATTTAGATTGAATTCTCTTTCCATCAGTGACAAAGCTGATAACTGTTGCTTTGGTACAATTGAAAACAATACTTTGCTCGAACGTATTGTTTTTATTACTGTGGCACCGATGTTGAGCTGTAGTCTGAATTTGTACAGTAGATGAGGCTGACTGTAGAAGATCAGCCAAACTTCACTGATAGCGGTCCTGCAACTGTGCCTGGATGCGAAGCTCTACTCTAAGACTTTATGATCGGAGCTCATGTTGTGCCATATCAACCTGTGCACTGTAACATTCAACACTTGCAAAGAAGAAAACAACATATTTTAGGTCTGTCCGACAAGTGCAAGGGCAGCAGCATTTGCTTGACCTTGCATTGACCTGTGGCAACAGGACTGTTTTCTTTTAGCACCTCAATGTGCTCAAGACGTTTTGCCTTGTGATGGAAAATAACTTTAAAGCTTAAATGTTTTTTTTTCATCCTATTATTTTCATTCATCTCTTTTGATGGCCTTGCCGTGTGGTAACAACAATTTGACTTTTATAAAGGACTTTTAGTGGCAGGAGTATTGACCTATGAAGAGTTCACTACCAAAATATGACATCTGCAAGGAAAAAAAATATTATCTATGGTGGTTAAAGACACATTTTGCCAACAATAAATATGTTTCCTGGTTAAAAAAAAGAAGATATTTGTTTCAAATTTTTGTTGCTATTATGTATTTTGCAAATTTTTTTTTGTCATTTTGGAAGACAACTCTTCATATACGGATTGATAATCCTTTGTTTTGAGCCTTTAGGCAGCATGTTGCCTTTGATTTGAGAGAAACATTATGCTAACAGTGACGGCTTTAAAATGACATGTCTGCTTATGCTGTTGGTGGTAGTCAAAATGAGAATTGTAGGATTCTTTGTAAGGGACCTTTGCAAAAGAAAAGGGTAATGAAATAAGAATATATCACCTATATTTTCAAAGATTTTTTAGATATGCTCTGTTGCTTCTTGGTATTTGTTTTCAATTTTTTTCTTTAAATGATAAATTTATATTTAAAAGCTTTAGTTCTGTATATTTCTTGGAAATTACATGATTGTATGTTTATTGTAAATACATTAAATATACTATTTTTGTTTGTAATACGAACTTGTCTGATGAGTTAGCAAAGGATTATTAGTTAATAACACTTACAGCTAATTTAGAATCAACAATTGCCTAGCATGAATGTTTTTGGACTGTGTGAGGAAACACTGGCAGGCACAGGGAGAGCATGCAAACTCCACACATAAGGGCTACAGAACAGGCTTTCTTATTCAGTGTGAGAGTGGTGGTGCACCAGCATGCCGCCACTTAATCCAGCCAGAGATATTGCACTTATTAAAAGATGCCTTGACTGAGAATTCACTACAGCAATGCTAGCAGCTCTTTTAGACTTCAAGGTTTTCTTTAAAATGTCAACCCTGCAGAAATAGTGTCTTTATTTTAAGCACAAATAATGATCTTCTGTGCAGACATTCCATAAGTAGAATTTTTTTCTTTTTTGTTATTTGAAAGAAAAGAAAAGAAACGTCTGAAGGCATATTTTTCCCACTGGCTGATGGACACGTTATATTCTTCAGGTCATGTGGTCTTTGAACAGATATTGTTCAGGGGTGAACTGATAAAAGAAAACTTCATGGACATACATCTAATAGTTGTTGAGGAATTCCTTTTGAACAAAAGCAGTGGTAGATTTATCCATGTGTAAACTAAATATGGTTACTGAAACAGAAAGAGCCACATTGCTATGATGCTACAGCAGTGGTCTAAAGATTGAGCGTTGCTGTGGTGCTGGTTTCCAGCCTGGCCCATGGTAAATCTAATTTATCATATTATGATTAAAAACATAGAAGTGATTTTTTTTTAGCACTGTTAATTGGATGAAAAATAAGCAATGCTATAAACATGCAGCCTGTGAAGAGAACACGTTTGTATTGTTTAAATGTCACAAAAAGATTGTTGCTAAAGGCAGCACTAGATAATGATGCAGCATACGAGATGTGTATTTTATTCACTCTTCTCACGCGCAGACAAAATGATGTAGTTTGTTACATTGCATGTAACGCTATTCTTTTGATAAAGGGCTATTCACTCGGTCAGTGCTTGGTCAGCCGGGGTTAAAGGTTACATTTTCATTTCCCATCTAAACGCACTGACGGAAGAAGATAAATCCTGACATCAGTTTAATCGAAATGTGCTGGTGCTTTGCCATGATCTAATTTCCTTTCATCCAAGCCCTCTGGTTATCCACAGGCATCTCGCTGTGCTACAGCAGCCAGTGGAGATAATAGCCGGGGTTATGGATTGACCGGTGAATCATCTTGTACTGCTGCTGTGAGCGAGCCAGGTACGTGTTCGGGGCCAGGTTGCTGCGTTGCTTTTATGCGAGAGCCTGGGCTGAGAGCTCTCCTGTTTCTCGAGTGCAGACGAGGTCTCGCCAGGGCCACGGTGCAGTGAAATGGAAAGCATGCCATTCCCTGTTCCGCTTGATGCCGAGTGACTGTGAGAGGTTGTGTCATGTTCCTTGGCTATTGACTCAATGACTTGGGACTTCACGACAAAAGCCTGAACCCGTGCGGGCTCTCTGCGTGCTGACAGAGAAATGTGTCTTCCACTTGTCTTCACATTGACCCGCGGACTCTGCAAGATTGACGTGTCCACGTCCCCAAAGTCTCACCTCCTGAACCTAAAAAATAACCTTTCCACGACCTCGCCTGTCTCTCATGCTCTGTTAGCCTTGGGTCTGGCTGCCATTGAAACAATTCAGTGAACTTGTGTTTTTTTCCCTGATACAGCTATGGATTACCTGTCTGCGGCAGCTTCCGCTACATGGATGACATGGTTGAGAATTCACCCTTGTGTGAATCATATTATTCTCTGTCACAGTGGGTTGAAAAGTCAAAGCACAGAGTAAGCATAAGCCATTAGCTGGTACTCAAATGACAGCACACAGAGCCAGACCTTCAAGGCTGCCTCTGCCCTGGGGTTCATCCAAGAGACAAAAATCACCATATGTCCTTCGTTTGCTGGAAGAATTAGGAGATGTGGGCTTGCAACTGTGCTCGTAAATGATGATGAATTCTTTTTACATTGTATGCAAAGAGAACATTCTGCATATCTGACTAATGCCTCGTCCAGTGACGTGGCTCAGACAGCTGACCTGATTTATTGCAAGGTTTCCTGCATTGTTAAAAAACAATCTCTGACTCAATGACAGAGGCCCAATTAGGGCCATTCCTTTGATGCAGAAAAGGTCCATATACAAAAGAGACTCTGAATTGCAAATCCAGTTGTAGCCCGTCCTTGCTTTCCCCTAATCTAATAATGTGATCCATCATTTCTACGGCGACAGCTCTACAGCCCAGGCATAGGACAGAATCCCACAGAGGATTAGTAAGATGTTTGAATATCCATATATTTAGCCCTATTTAGAGAGAAAAAATACATATTTAGAATAATGCACTGGGCTGTTCTTTTACATTTCACCCGATTATACCTCACGAGATACTTCAATTTCATTTTTCCAGATTTAACTGTTACTGGTTGTTGGTAACCTTCTAATAAGCACTTGACATCCATATTCAGCATAGATGCCTTCAAGACTCAAGGGTTTTTTTTGTCGACTAAAAAAAGAGGCCCGTTTCCTGCTCAGTGGTGGCGCTGTTGTTTGAGGGATGGCTCTGTTGCAGAATCATCCATTACCCTGATGAGCTCGCAGCCCCAGAGCTATGACAGCACAGCCACACGATGAGCGAGACAGCCGACTGCCACTATTTGTTCCGCTAAAGCATTCATCACACTAATTACCCATGGTGCCAAACAGCTCCAGCAGCCCAGTGAAGCTTTGGCTGCTCGTTTGGAGACGAGGTGAGGTAGGGAAACCTCAGATGAGTCTAAACAGGAGGCTGTCCTCTTTTTTCTGGCTTTCCTGCACATAATTAACTTGGCACACCAGCAACTTGACAAATTGGAATGATGAATCTGGCCTCTATGAATAGATACAAATACATGATCAATCAAAATACCGGACAGTGTTCTCAGTCTGAGGAAATGTGGTGCTGTGAAGGACAAAAGAAATGTCTTTGCTGTGAATGACATTTGGTCTTCTTGTAGAAAAGTGAGAGGGAGGGTTTGTGTCTGGTGTGTTTGAGCTGCGAAAATGTAGAAGCAAGTCAGTGCTAAGTGGGTGGTGCAGAAAAAAGTGGTTGCAAAATCTCACCATTTCACAATTTAAGTGCCAATTTTTTTTTAAAAAACATTATACTTTATCCAATTTTCAATACATAATGCCTTATTTTCTAAAGGACTACACTTTGAGCCTGCTTTCGATAACTTTTCCTTCGATGCAGACAGATGCAAAAGCACAGTCTCTCTGAATTATAGTCATGTATGCCACCTGACCTTGGAAAGTACCAAGAAAGACTCTTTGGTTTCTTTAAATTTCTGTCTCATTCACACTTAGCCCCCAACTGTCCGTGTCCCTTCTGGCCTTCACACTGCCGTCTGAACTAATGTAGCATCCAGTACATCAAAACATCCCAGCATTACCTCCCCGCAGTGGCCACAGATCAACTGATCAAGCACAAAGAAACTTCCTAGAGACAGCAAATCCTCCCAGCCTGCCTCACAGTTGCATTTTAAGCATATCACTGCATCTCACCAACTAGGCCAAGAAAAACCACCAGCATAAATGACACATGGCCAGCCACATGACAGCTGTTAAAACACTCAACTAATTCTTTGATGCCATGTTGAAAAAAAAAATAGCCTGTCATGAAAAGAGAGTGTGTTTGAAACTCTTCGTTTCCTCATAAATAATAATAATAATAATAAAATCACACCTGTAATATTTTTTGCATTGTTTGTTATGTTAATCATAAATATTGCTCTCTATATATTTGTTTTCTTAACTTCACCATTTATTGTTAGTTACTGTGATTCAGCTTCTTGTACATTACAGTTAAAAGCTTTAGTAATTACTCATTAACACAGATGTTTTCTGATGTAAACTGACTAAAAGATTACTGACGACACTGTTATGGTCAGTCACAATTTTTACTGTATATATAACGTTGACTTGTGCATATAAAACTATGGGGTAAATAAAGTCAGAAGTAAAAAAGTAAAAGTAGATAAATTTGAATTTATAAAATGGTAA